AATCAAAAATAACTTAAGAGTGATAATGGACATATTAGAATATTATTAACTACACCCAAGGAAACAATTGGCACTAATATTTCTAGATGCCCAAAAGACATTTGATAACATTTCCTGGCAATTTATGATTCAGCAACTACAAATAATGGACTTTGGACAGGACTTTATAAATATGATAAAAACAATATATAACAAACAGAAAAACAAAGTGATCGTGAATGGAGATTGTACGGAGAGCTTTGAGATAAGAAAAGGCACAAGGCGAGGATGTCCGTTATCCCCATTGTTATTCATTTTCACTCTGGAAGTTCTAAATAGAAATATCAGACAAGATACAGAAATTAAAGGACTGGAAATAAAAGGCGAAACATATAAATTACAAGCATTTGCTGATGATTTGGTATTTATCTTAGAAGAACCTTTGGAGATGATTCCTAAATTACTGGGAAAGGTAGAACAGTATGGAGAAATGGCAGGACTGAAAATAAACAGAGAAAAAGCTAAAGTAATCGCTAAAAATCTTACAGATAAACAAAAACAAATGTAAAAAAAACAGAATTACAGATAGTTAAAAAGGTTAAATATTTGGGTATACATTTAACAGCAAGATGTTCAATGATAAAAGAAGATAATTACACAAAATTATTGAATCAAATAAAATTGGATTTGGAAAAATGGAAAAAATTGTAATTATCAATATTAGGAAGAATCGCTACAGTGAAAATGAATGTATTGCCAAAAATCTTATTTTTATTTCAAACAATACCCATAAAAGTTGAGAATTTTTTTTTCAAGATTTAAATTCATTAATTTTGAAATTTGTTTGGCAAGGAAAGAAAGCTAGAATTAAGATGAAAACATTACAAGATGCTAAGGAAAATGGAGGATTTAGTTTACCAGAGTGGGTTTTGTACTATCAAGCATCTCTATTAACATGGGTAAAAGAATGTATAACTCTTAGAAACAAAAGGTTGTTGTATCTGGAGGGACATGATCTACAATTGGGGCGGCATGCCTTTATGGTATGGGGAAAACAAAATACATAAATATTTCCAAAACCATTATATAAGAAATGCATTATTAATAGTATGGGAAAAAATAAAAAGTAAAATATATTTGAAAATTCCAGGGTGGTTGTCAACTATGGAAGCATTTGTACCCCCAAATTTGGTGGACTTTGAAAAAATCTGGACATATAAAGATATTCTAAATTCTGAAGGGAATTTAAAATCTAAACAAGAAATGGACAACAAAGGCATCAACTTGTCATAGTGGGCACATTTACAAATGCAAACTAGATATGAAAAAGATGTTAAACTGTATGGATTTTATAAACAACAAACAGTATTTGATAAGACTTTATTAACTTCAGAAGAGAAATTAATTAAGACTTCCGGTTCCGGTTCGTGGCGCTGGTGGTGTTATTGAGAGAGTTGTCTCTTCGCCAGCTGGTTTTTCTTTGCCGGTAGACCCTGAAGAGGGTTGAAAGTCACCCTGGAGGGGCGACCACCATTGAGGAGGCTCCTCGTTGACTGCAGGAGGGGGGCAGCTCCTTCAGTGGCTCGAGGCAGCTCCTTAGGGCCGATGGAGCAAAGATCGCCCAGTAAGATGGCCGATCACTTAGCTGCACCAGCCGAAAGTCACAATAACATCTAAGCGAAAAGAACCACTGTGGAAGATCTGGGTGAGATCCCTTCCTGCCTCTCCTTTTCTTATTTACCCCTGTGAAAAGCCCTTCTGGAATTATTTCCCTTTTCTGAAAAAGCAGTGTTTGTCTATGTGGGAAGGCAAGCTTGGAACAAAGGGAAAAAATAAACAACTAACTTTAATGACTAGGTTTAACTTGGGACACCTTGGGGTCCTGAAAAACCTCTTTAATAGAATTTCAACATTCTATTTATTTGGAGAACATTGTCTTTTTTATTTCTTTAACTGGAAAAAAAAATTATTGGGGTATGGGAAAAGACTTTATAACTTACTAGGGACATCTTGTGGTGAAAATAGTTACTGAAATTGCAATTGCTGTTTCTTTTCCCCTTTAATTTTGAAGATGACACTGAGTTTCAAATTATCATAAAAGGGAAAAGATAAACAAGCTGAATTGCTGGGTGATGAAACTAACTGTTAGAAATTGTGCAGGTGGATACTGACTGCTATTAAATGCAGCCTCCACTAAAAGATTAAAGGTTTTAATCACCACTGCCATGGAGGGATTCCACCCACATCTTAACTACAAGCTCACATTGGAAAAAAATCTTGAAACGACTGAGCAAATGGATTCCAGAATGAAAGAGATTATTTGGGGACGACAGATTAAAGCTCAAACCTCAACTGAGCAATCTACAGGCCAAGAAATAGTAGAGGAGGAACAGACAAACACTCAAGAGGCCTATACCTAACACCAAACACAATTTAATGAGATGGAGGAAATTGATTCACATCTTAATTATGAATTCACTCTGGAAAAAACCTTTGAAATTACTGACCAAATGAATTTCACGATGGAAACCAAAGAAATTGTCCCAAAACTGCTGACTGACCCCCAGACTCCAACTGATTTCTTTACAGCTCCAAAAATAACAGAAGAAGAACAAATCAACACTAAAGAGGACTTTATACTACTCTACATACAACCTACTGAGATATTTGATGATTCAAAAATGACTTTAACCAAATCATATGTAACTTCAAAACCAACAGGAACTGATGCTCAGATACAAACCATTGAGAATTGTAATAACTTTGACAATCAATTACCAATTACAATGTTGGATACGACTGTTTGTGCCAAATGATATTTCAAGGAATGAAGGGAGACCTATTTGTTGACACAGAGGCTCTACTACGGAAACCTGCTTGGCACAAAAAGAAAGCTAGAGTAAGGTATAAAAATGGGAGTTAAAACTATATTTATGGACTGAAAAGGTTTTTTAGAGACGCGGACTGATTTAATGCTTAGGATTTAGATTTATAACTGAGGTGAAAATTATTGGTTAGACTGTAGCTTGGAATTGTAACATGAAAAAGGTTTTAAATGAGCTATTATAATAAGAAATAGAACATATAAGTGAAATAGAGTAAGAATGTATTTCTTGGAATAACATATTTAGGTATGATAATTACTTCGTAATGGAATGAGAACAAGGAAATGGATTGTGAAAATGGAAGATATGGTATTAGCAAAGGAGGAGGTATTAGAATAGAAATAGAATATATTTGGGAAATCTAATAGTGTAATTGTTGGAATAACATTTTTATTTTAGATAGTATAATCAGTATGTTATAAAAAGAGGGAAATTAGGGATACCCGAAATGTAAACAATATACCTAGTTAAGGCTAAATTGGAACATGGAAATTGGAAATTAATTAAAGCTTCAAAACAGGATTTGGATTTGTATAGGTAAAATGTCATTGATAATTTTATTGACTGTCTGAATTTTATTTAGAAATGTATTATTTTGAATATGTTACATTAACTGAGAGAAACAGAAAGGGAACTTTTAAGGAACAAATTTGAGTTGTATACTTATGATTTTGTGGTTTGTTTGTTTGTTTGTTTGGATAACCGATTACCCCATCAGCATGCTGGTTCCTAAGCACTTTGATGTAAAAATTGAAAAACCAATAAAACTTGTTTTTTTTAAAAAAGAAATTAATTAAGAAAATGTATAATTTTTTATTAACTTTGGAAATGGAAAGTTAAAGAAACAATGTTAAGATGGGCGAAAATTTTTGGATATAATATAGAATTAGAAAAATGGCAAAATTTATTGGAAAGAAATTATAAATTGACAATGTCAACTTCTTATAAAGAAAATTTATATAAAATGTTTTATAGATGGCACCTGCCACCAGCAAGATTAGTAAAAATGTTTAAAAATATGTCAGATAGATGTTGGAAATGTAAACACAAGTCAGGCACATATTATCATGTTTGGTGGACATGTGATAAAGTAAAGAATTATTGGGGAAAACATACATACTTGGTTAGAAAAGATGTTGGGAGAATATGTAGATTTTAAGCCTGAACTTTTTTTATTAGGTATAATGCCAGAAAAGACTAACAAACAAAGCCTATATTTGATTTTACATGTCACAATGGTGGCAAGAATAATATTTGTGCAATATTGGAAAAATGAAGGAATACCATCAGATGAAGAAATAATTCAAAAAATATTAGAATGCGCAAAGATAGACAGATTGACTATGAGACTAAAAGAAAAAGAAGAAACAGAATATCATCAAACTTGGGACTTATTTTACTGATGGTTAGAGGAAAGAAGGAAGGATTAGGAATTAAATATGTATTAGTGTATCTAAACTCAGAGAGCACATTGGTTGAAAAATGATTATTGTATGTATGGAAAAAATTAATAAAATCTTGTAAAAAAATCTAAGTTCCATAAACAATTTAAAAACAAATAAAATGGGAAGGGGAAAGAAAATTCAGGTACCAGTTCCTAAAGTTATGTAGTGGTTATAGTACAGAAAAAAATAAATGGCAAGGCTTCAAATACACAAGCGATGGCTGGTTCTGAAGAAAGTAATACGATGCATGAATTCTGTGACGTTGTTGCTCTTATTTTGCTATTCCCACGTCCATGCTTGGCAATGTAGTTAAGACGCTGGGTTTGTTGGATGAAAAAAACAGCAGTTCAAGTTCAAGACCCAACGTCACATGAGGGGGTGAGCTCCTGTTACTTGCCCCAGCTTCTGCCAACCTAGCAGTTCGAAAGCATGTAAATGTGAGTAGATAAATAGGTACCACTTCAGTGGGACGGTAACAGCCCTTTGTGCTGTCATTCTGGCCACATGACCGCACAAATGTCTTTGGACAGCACTGGCTCAATGGCCTTGAAATGAAGATGAATCGGCAATGACTAGTGGAGTAATAATTGCAGGGACTCTTTTACCTTTACCCCCCCCCCACTTGCTCAGAGATGAGAAGGGTTTTGAGAAATATATTAAATATTACCTGCTTTGAAATCTTATTTTGCAGAGAGAAAGGTCAGCTACTGAAGAAGAAAGTCTTTGTCCCTCAACAGTCATTGTATGAGTAAGTATACCTGGCCATTGTATGAATGAGATTTAGTCAGAGAGACAATGGGCAAAGTAGCCAGATCTCTAAGGCCTTAGGTTCCAAAGGTGACCTGGGGCAAATAACTGATATTCCACTGTGATGACGAACAAGAGCTGGAAACAGCCCAATAAGGACTGAGCATGCTCCATAGCCACACACTGATGGGTGCAGGGAGAGTATGCAAAGAATAGATACTCTAGATTGGAAATGGAATGAAGTATGTTTTAAAGGATTAGGTTGATTAGTGGGCTAGCATGATAGTACAAAGAGTGATTACTAGCATATTAGAATAAGGCTGTTTGTAGTCTCAGCAGGAGTGAGTTTCCTGCTTGGTCCTAGGGCTCAATTGTGATCATAAGTTGAAGACTACCTGTATATCACAAGAGAGGGAACATTTTCCCCCAGCCCCTTGATTGTTATTTCTTTTATACAAGTGAAACTGCAAGTTTTTGCACAGAAAGCCAGATGAAAATCTTTTGGTATCTCAGGTCTCGTCCAATGATCTTCAAATGCCCATTTCCCCCACCATCTATTGCTTATTTGCTGGCAACATCTCTCTCTTTTACAGCACGTTGATGGAGGTGGAACATTTCCGCACAATCCGTCACATATTTGTGGCCACGCTCTGTATCTTTGTCCTCAAACAAATCATTGGGGATTCCATCGACGAAGGACGGTATGATCCTCTGATGTATGCTAATGCTGGGGTGAATGTGGGGATAGGGTGCTATTTGTTTTCTGCTAAGGGACACAGTAATTATCTTAAGAACATGTTTACCTAATCTTTTGAACTTAGATTCCATCAACGGTTTGGCAACCTTCTGCGAGTCCCCTGACCCTGCTGCTTCTCCTCCCAGGTGTCACTGTTCATCTACTTGCTACAAAGGAAATGGAATTTGTTCTCCTTGTCTTTGCACTCTTGTGGAGCAGTACCCCTTGGGACCCTCCTATGCCTGCCTAGAAATTCATAAGTCTAACTGAGGAACACCCCTTTGGTGCCACCTTTGCTAGGCATCCAAACACCGTTCTCTATCCTAGTAGCCCACTTACTCAGTTCACTTATTCTAACCTCATTCTGAATGAAACTTGTTACCTTTTGGATCTTTCTGTACCGGTGTTCGTGGGTGAACATATGTGTTGTGTCACATAGTATGCATCTGCCATTTGTTAACATGGTTTGTATTTGTACTATATTCCATTCCATTTGACTAGTGGTCAATAAATTGATTAATTGACCAATTGACTTTAAAGAAAATCAGGATAAATTTACTATTAATACAGGAATGGAAAAATATAGAAACTAGGAACAGAGAAAGGGATTACATGAAGAAAACTAATCCTTTTAGAGAGGATGGGATCTGCAAAAACCCAAACAGCCATGTGATGACGGCAGAATAATATACAAATATTTCTCTGACAAGCATGTTGAGTAATGTTCCTAGTGTAATAGGCACATCAAATACCTCACCATCCTCTATTCCTGACCTATTGAAATTGTGCTGCGAACCTTTTTTTGTGGATCCAATATTTTAGAGTAAAGATTATGAAACCAAGATTATGAAATCAAACAAGGTTATGAAACAAAATGAGAGAGACTGATCATAATTCTTTTAGTTGGGGAAGGGGATATTCCTTCATCTAACTCTGATCTGTCTATTTTGAAGAGTTCATTGAACCTTTCATGGGTTTACCTCCTCAAAATAGCAGGACCCATCCCTTTCACTTTTCAGCAATTATATCACTGAATATTGGGGATGCCCCAAAGAAAGCTCAAGGGGTTGCAGTAGAGGCAGAGGGATATGGGTCACCTGAGGTGCTTATTTTAATTTGAAACATCCTTATCTTTTGGGCAACATCCTTAGAGCGCCTTTTCTTCTTTGTCTTCCACAGTCTTGTTTGGGATTTCGATCTCATTATCAGTAGCTTTCGACAACTCCCCACAGCACTCTTTGCCTGGCTCTGCATGTTCCTCTACACCTTATTTGTGCCCTACCAGGCCCTGCAAATATGGTCAGGCCGCTTGAAGATGACCAGGTTCCCCAACCTCTTGACAGTCACCTTGGTGGTGTTGGTGCTGCTCTGCCACACTGCAATGCTGGGCTTCTTCCCCCTCTATATCCTTCTCTCCTGTGATTTGGGAATTGCCTCCCGTTTTATTGTCATCTCTGAGCAGGTATGTCACTGGGCCAGCACAAAGGAAGTTGGTAGAGGGGAAAGGATTTCTTAAACAGCAATGAGGGTAGTTAAGATGAGGTTGGATTTGTGAAGGAACTCTGGTTGCCATAGAATATCTCAGTGTGGAAAATATAGATAGCAGCAGGTGCTACAAAGGCCCCCGAAAGCATAAATTTATACTACCAAACACAGGCCACATATGTGCCATTGCACAGAGAAGACATGGCAACCTCACTCCAGGTTTAAGGTAGTTGTCTCCTATCTCGTGCCCTCTGGATGGTCTGGACTGGTCCCATAAACCCCAAATAGGGGCATTAAGGATGGCCAGGTCAAACACATATTCTTTACTATACATTGCCCTGAATAAGATATACAGTACATTCTTTTTAATCTTGTGGCAGAAGGTATGCTCCTTAGCAGCCATGGTCATGCATACATTGTGTATAAATGCCTGCAGTAGCAATTGCCATGGCCTCAAATAGATGAGGGCAATTTGGAAATAAACCTCCCCTTGAGCATGAGAAATAGGTGGGGATAGCGACGCCCGTCCAATGGAGACATGTGCAGTACTTCAGTAGGCAGTGAGGAATGGAAGGAGAAGGTAGTGTTGTAGTTAACTCATCCACTGGATCAGTTGAAAATTAACCCTGCCATAGAAAATCCCTCCAAAGGTGAAGTGCGTGCAGTAAAAGGATTCCTGTATGTGAAAAAACTGCCAGCAACTGCGATTCATCATGAACTGTAATGTTGTAATGTTTATGGAGCAAATGTGATGAGTGAAGGCGTCGTACGTCAGTGGTGTCACATGTTTAAAGATGGACAAACTGACGTGCACGATGAGGCAAGGCCACCCATCTGTAGTCAGCAATGAACTGATGCAGAAAATTGACAAAAAGGTCCATGAAGTTCACTGGTTCATGATATCTGCGATTTCTTTACACTTTTCCCAAATTTCTCACACTGTTTTGTATGAGGTAGTGACAGAAAATTTGGGATATCGCAAGTTCTGTGCTTGTTGGGTACAAAAATTCCTTTCTGAGGAGCACAAAACACAACCAAATGGGTTCACGATGCTGTTATGGGGTGCCTTCATTCCCAGGCAGGAGATTTTTTTGCAGAAGGAATTTCAAACCTTGTAAGATGTTATGATAAGGGGCTCAATTTGAATGACAGTTATTGCGAAAAGTAATGTAATGTTGTATTTTTCTAATCTGTATAGTAAAAGTTCTGTATCTGCACATGTCTGTCATTGATAACCAAATGGAGGTTTATTTCCGAATTGCCCTCGTATGTTCTTCTTGCAAATTGGAAGACTAGCAGATTTCATTCAAGCAAGACAATGAGCTGAAAAATCAGCAGGCAGTATAGCTGACAGATAGCCAAGTGCCATTTCTATCTGAAAAGTCTAAACAGACAGAGTCTGGAGCACCATGTGAGCATTAGAGACCTCTTGGATCAGCCCATCCATCTGAGCTGATGGGTCCAATTCCATTCTTTGAATATCCACAAGGATAGTACCGAAGGACAGGTAGATGGCATAGCAGAATACTAAAGTCCCCTGCAAGAATATCTATATGATGTAACTTCACACTGTTTCATTGCTCATTTCGCCCTCTGGGGTAGATCCGGTTCCTGATGAAAAGCCACTCATTTCTGCGAGAATCGATGCCCCCTCTTCTCCTTGCCAGGGACCAAGTTGGTGAGTTTGACTTGAAGGCCCTTAGTCATGATTACAATGGCTGTAAGTTGTCCCCATAGTCCCCAAACTGATTTTACATCAATGGCAGCATTTTAGTTGTAGCATAAGCTAGTCATCCAACCATTGGCCTCCAAATGCTAATCACAGACTTTCTCAACTTATGACAGCTGAGGAACTATTGGATTACATTTTCCATTTTCCTGTCAGTGATTGGATCATGTTAGATGTTGTAAGTAGACTTTAGGTATATCAAAATGCTAAGAAAAGTTATATGGATTCAAAGCAAAAGAAACCTCTTGCTTGGATCAAGTACACTTCCCCATATCCCTCACCAAATCACAATTTCTCCTATTTGTCAAACTTCATTTTGCATGAAGAGGTCAAAACATGGGAGATTTATTTATTTATCTATTTATTTATTTATTTTTCTTATTAGGATACAAAGCAGCTCAAAATGTTTTTTTTTTAAAAAAATCTGACATATAATGCAAGATTTTATTGATTGCATTTTTTTTCCTTATACATATCCCTGTGAACACATGGAATAGACACTTCCCTAGTTTGTTGCTTTTGTATACCAATGGAGACAGATTTTTTCAGAAAGCTTTAATTCTGCATCCTGTATCATATCTTAACTATAGTGGGTTTTGCAGCTACTTTTTGTAGATAAGTATCTTGATAAGAAGGGCTGTAGTTAGAATGCCATATTGCAGGATAATTCTGCCGACTGCTAGAAGTTCGATTCTCACTGGCTCAAGGTTGACCTTCCATCATTCCGAGGTCAGCAAAATGAGAACCCAGATTGTTGGGGGGCCATATGCTGACTCTGCAAACCTCTTAGAGAGGGCTGCAGTGCTACTGCTACTGCTATCATCACGTACACATAAAGCTCTGCATTCCTCCTGCTGAAACAGTATGCAGAGATAAGATGTCTCCAATTGAGCATCATGTGTGTAACTCTTTCTTCAGTGTACAACACAAACTGCTGTCTCGGTACTTGTCCCTGTGTACTTTCAATAGTTCCTTTGCTTCTTTCCCCTACTCCAGGGAAGATAAGCCCTCCTGAATTATCAACATACTTGTATTTTCTCTTCTGCCCTACTTTGATCTACAGAAAGAGCTATCCGAGGTGAGTCTTTGCATATCGTCCTTGTATTTTGGGGCTGCTTGGTTTTTCAGCTATATCAGAAAAAGAGTGGGCAAAACAGGCTTCAGTGTCTATAGTCCATGCCCCTAGAGCAATGGTGTAACCATTGTATTTCCCAAGAAAAGGGAACTGCACCCTTATCACATCTCAACGCAATCCCTGCTCCTTTCCTTATAGAGATCCATACATCCGCTGGAGTTACGTCATCCAAAAATTGGTTGAGGTGAGTAAAACACATTAAAGTTTCCATTGGCGGGTTGGTTTTATCTGGCCTCTTTATGGATTAGAAAAGACTGAGCTAAACTGGGAATCCTAAGGTATCTTAGGTGGCCAAGGTAGTAAATAGCAATAACACTTTAAGAAACCCTGAGTGATTAAAGGCTACCATTTAAATTTCCCAGAGTTCTCTAGCCTTGAGTGAATTACAACATTTGTCCTGAGTCATGTTTGATGCAAAAAAGTTCACTGCCCCTAAGAGATGTACAATTTAAAATTTTAGACACAATTTACATATTTTCAAACATCTCCTAAAGGAAAACAAAAGGAAAAAGGATTTGAAAGAGAGCGGAGTTAATGGAACTTAGAGCCATTCAGCAAGTGAGTGGTGCAGAAATCTATGACAGGTTGACTAAAACTAAAGAAAAGGGAGGACAGTATTTGGGCATTGTAGGAGATTAAAATGGCAGCCAAATCCAGCTTTTGAAACCATAGATGAGAAGAAGATTGTTCTTAGTCATAGCCAAGGCAACCAGTATGCCTTGCCAGAAGACTGAGATGCTAGTGGATCACTAAGGTAGTATTTTTTCTCTCCATCCTACAGTTCCTGGCGAGTATATATTTTCTGAATTTCCTTATGAAATACTCCTTCATCCCTATGTTCAAAAACATGCATAAGCAGCCCTTCACCATCAAAATCCTGCTACTTTCCATCTTTGATTCAGTAGTATCTGGTATGTGGAAACAATTATGATTTAATTTGTGTAATGGGATTACAGGATAAGGCTGATTTATCACATTTTAGAGAAAGTGAAGACGTACAACAGATATTTCTCAACTGACAACCATTTGTTTAGTGATGTTCAAAGATACCACAGCACTGAAAAAAGTGACTTATAACTATTTTTCACACTTATGGCTGCTGCAGCATCCCCATGCTCACGTGATCAAAATACACGCCGTAAATACTGGCATGTATTTATGAAGGCTGCAGTGCCCCAGAGGGTGGCACGATCACCTTTTGCATCCTTCTTTTTTTATTAAAAGTTTTATAAATTTATTACAATATAAACCCCGCCACCCCTTCCCCCCTCCCCCCACTTCCCAGAGCTGATTACAGGGTAAAGCAAAAGAATAAACAAATATAATCCAGCTAACATAAACCAATTATACTATCAATCAAAACCATAAGACACTTTAGCTCCTTATCAATACAAATATTAACAAATTAAGTCAAAAATAATAATATAATTAAAGCTATTAATAATTATCTAAAATCTGCTCAAAAGCAAGATAATACTTTTCAGTTTCATATTTCTTCTGAATATAATCAATCCATGTTCTCCAAACCATAATATATCTTTCTTGTGAATGGTCCTTCAAATAGGCGGAGAATCTTCGCCATATCTGCCAAATTAGACACTTTAAGTATCCATTCTTCCAAAGTAGGCAACAAATTTTTCTTCCAATATTGTCCCACCAATAATCTTGCAGCTGTTATAAGGTTCAACATCAAATTAGTTTCTTTAACATCAAAATCTACAATAATACCCAACAAAAATAATTGCGGAGTAAACTTAATCTTTTTCTTAAAAATCTTTTGAATATTCCACCAAATCTTTATCCAAAAAGCTTTAATATCTCTACAAGTCCACCAAATGTGGAAATACGTTGCATCTAAATTTCCACATCTCCAACATTTAGGCTGTAAATTTGGATACATGCAGGGCAACTTTTGGGGATCCAAATGCCATCTATAAAACATTTTATAAAAATTTTCTCTCAAATTTTGCGCTTGAGTAAATTTTACATTTCTAACCCAAATTGTTTCCCATGTATCCAATAAAATTGGCTCTTGAATATTTTGCGCCCATTTGATCATACAATCTTTAACCAACTGTTTCAGAATCAAATTCTATTAAAACATTGTAAATTCTTTTTATATGAGCTCGACTTTGATCTTTAATCTGTTTTACCAAATTCACATCCTCTAAAGTAATTCCAACCTTTTGATCTATACTCCACCTCAATAACAATTGATTATAATAAAACCAAGAATATACAATATTTTCTTGCTTCAACTCATTTAAAGGCTTTAATTGCCAATGCTGCCCATCCAGACTAAGTAATTCCTTATAAGAAATCTTATCCAAATTTGCTCCCCTAGATACTCCCTCAATCATGTGTCCTGGAATCCCCCAAATTGGGATTTTATAACTTAACCTATAATAATATTTCTTCCAGACATGCAACAAAGCACTTCTCAAAATATGAGTTTTAAAAACCTGATCAACCTTTTTATCATAAATTAAATACGCGTGCCATCCATATAATAAATCCCATCCCTCAAGAGAAAGAATATTTTTATTTGTTAAGTTGAGCCAATCACTAATCAACGTTAAAGCCACCGCATCATAGTACAATTTTAAATTAGGTGCCTTCAATCCACCTCTTTCCCGTGTATCCTGCATAATTTTGAATTTAACTCTCGGCTTTTTCCCTGCCCAAATAAATTTATTAATCTCCTTCTGCCATTCCTCCAGATTAGCATCTTTTTTCAAAATAGGTATCATTTGAAAAAGAAAAAGAAACTTTGGAAGTATATTCATTTTAACTGCCGAAATTCTTCCCAACAAAGATAATTGTAATTTTTTCCAATTATTTAAATCTTTTTGCACTTTTATCCATAATGTCTTATAGTTATTTTTATACAATTTAACATTAGAAGCAGTTAAATAAACTCCTAAATATTTAACCTTTTTCACTATTTCAAAACCTGTTAATCTAACCATAATGTCCTTTTCCTTCATAGACATATTTTTCGATAATATTTTAGTCTTATTATTATTTACCTTAAAACCTGAAACCTTCCCATACTGACTTAAAATTTCAACCAAATCTCTAACCGAATCTGTTGGTTGAGATAATGTCACAACCAAATCATCAGCAAAAGCTCTCAATCTATCATCACTCTTATTTATTTTTATTCCCTTTAATCTAGGTGACTCCCGAATTTTAATAAGTAAAATCTCCATTGTTAAAACAAATAACAATGGGGATAAAGGACATCCCTGTCTTGTACCCTTTTCAATTTTAAACGCTTCTGTTAAACCTCCATTAACTACGATTTGTGCAGATTGTTGTTGATATATTGCCTTAAGGCAGTGGTTCTCAACCTGTGGGTCGGGACCCCATTTGGGGTCGAACGACCATTTCACGGGGGTCGCCAAACAACACAGTCTGCCATTTTTTTTCTCCTTTTCCTTAGCTGTGCTACTCCCTTTTATTCTATTGGCTTTTGAAAGCCAATAGAATAGACTCTCTTGAACAGAGTCTAATTCTATTGGCTTTCAAAAGCCAATAGGAATTGTCCAGACTGTCTCTGCCCTGCTGAGCCCGCCAAAAGTCCCATTATGCAAATGGTGCTGCACCAGTTGAATAGTCCTTGACTTACGACCGGTTGAGTAGTCCTTGACTTACGACCGGTTGGGGGTCGCGGCATTAAAATGGTTGAGAACCACTGCCTTAAGGGCAAGTAAAAATGTATCCCCAAAATTCATTTCCTCTACTACTTTGAATAAAAATTGCCAGTCTAATTGATCAAAAGCTTTTTCAGCATCTAAAAAAATCAAAGCAGCAGGGATTTGATTGTTCTTATCCAAATACTCAATTAAGTTAACAATTTGTCTAACATTATATTTCATATATCTTCCGGATATAAATCCAGATTGGTCACTATGAACCAATTGCTTCAAAACTCACATTAGTCTATTTGCCAATATTTTTGAAAAAAAAATTATATCTGTATTCAAAAGAGATAAAGGTCTATAATTTTTGGGCTGCGTCAAATCTTGATCTTCTTTCGGAATCAATGATACGAAAGCCCTTCTCCATGATGGAGGTACCTCTGCTCCCAACAGAATATTATTTAAAAATTCCTTCAATGGTTCTATAATTTCTTCAGATAACATTTTGTAATAATTTGCTGTTAATCCATCTGTACCTGGAGCCTTACCAACTTTCAATTGTTTAATTGCCCAAATAATCTCATCAGAAGTAATTAAACCATTAATCTCATCTCTTCGATCAATAGTAAGTTTAGGAAAATGTGATTCCTGTAAATACTTTTCTATATCTAAAACTTGTTTATTTTCACTAGCGTATAACTTTGAATAAAATCTAAAAACTCCTTTTAATTAAATTTTGTTGATAAACTTCTTTACCTTTATAATTTATTTTTTCTATAATCCTAGATTTCTGTTTCTTTCGTAGTTGGTAAGCCAACCACCTACCAGGTTTATTTGCATTACAAAATGTATTATGTTGCATATACCTCAAATTAATTGCAATCTGATCAGCTATTAACATATTAAATTGCTCCTTAAGCAAACTAATAGAAGCCTTTAAATTATTGTCCAATGGATTTAATATAAGAGCCTTTTCCTTAGATTTAATTTCTGCTTCCAACTCTTTACGTTTCTGCACCTGTTTACATCTATGCATATTATTCATATAAATCAATACCCCACTCATATAAGCTTTACTAGCATCCCATAACATTGGCATCGAAGTACCCTTATGCATATTCAAAAGAAAAAAATCCTTTAAATAATCTCTACATCTCTGTAAATTCCCCTCATATCTAAATAAATTTTCATTCAATCTCCAAGTCCTTCTGTTCCCATCTTCAGTAGATAACTCCATCCATACAAGACTATGGTCTGATAATATTCTTGGGAATATCTTGACGTTCTTCACCCTAGAAAAGAGATCATTAGTAATTTAAAAAAAGTCAATTCTGATGCCTGTCTGAAAAAAAAGTGAAGTCTCTTTCTTCCATATTCCGTTCACGCCAAATGTCTCTAAGTTCCAAATCCTCCTTCAAATAAAAAAAAAACTTTAGGTAATTTTGCATGATTAGGAGATTTAAAAGAACCCTTTTTATCTTTAATTGAGTCTAAAACACCATTCCAATCTCCCATCATAATTACTGATTTATAATCTAATTGAGTTATTTTCTGATGTATCATCTTATAAAAATATTTTTGTTGCTGATTAGGAGCATATAGTCCAATAACAAGACTTCTCTTGCCATTTAATAATAAGTCAATAATAACATATCTTCCTTGTGGATCAGAATCAATTAACTTCGGTGATAAGTCTTTCCTCACATAAATAACTACTCCTGCTTTTTTCTGCGGAGCAGAGGCTGGGAAATGTACTCTCAGCCAGGAGTTAATCAAATATTTTTCATCTTTTGAAGCAATATGAGTCTCTTGCAAACATATAACATCATTCTTATGTTGTTTCAAATAGTAAAATACTTTCTTTCTTTTCTGTGGTAAATTCAAACCATTAACATTCCATGTCAGGAACTTTGCCATATCTAATGGCTTGAAGCCTTTGGAACACTGCATCTAAATCCGCAGTTGAAGACTTCTTTGGTCTTGTTCCTCCCACTGGCTCAGAGGTAGAAACCTGTGTAGTATCTCCAGCATCTACCTTTTGTTGTTCTTTTTCTCTATGTTTATGGGCTGCACGAGTCATTCTCTGTTCCCTTGGTTCTTCTCTTATCTCCAAACACTGTTGCATTGATTCAACCAACAACTCCTCTCCTGTTGGTGACATTGCTCCTGCAGCCAACTGACCTTCATTTCTTCTAGATCTTGGAGATGGTGGTGCATCTGCCTTCAGAACAGAAATGTAAAAATCTCTTGCTTTTAAAATTGTGTTTAATCTATGACGTGTTCCAAGATAGTTCACCACTATACCAACAGGTACATCCCATCTAAATTGAATCTGACGCTTCTTAAGCTCCTCAGCCAAAAAAGCAAAATCCTTTCTTCTTCTCAAAATTTTAGAAGGTATTTCTTTTAAAACTATAACATCTTGCGCTGCAATTTGAAAGCTTTGATTGTAAAAAACCTGTATAATTTCATTGCGAAGTGATCTTCTAGAAAAATAAATAACTACATCTCTTGGTAAATTTCTCTGCTTCACAATCCATGAATTAACTCTAAAGATTTTTTCAATATCTCTCAACATTTCTTCAATTCCACATCCCAAAATGGATGCTAGTTCTGCAGCAGTCTCTTCTTTCAAATTCTCTTTCGCATTCTCCTTCAACCTTCTTATTCTCAAAGCAAACTCCATGTCTCTGCATTGTGACATCACAATTTCATTATGTGCTGCATCCACATTATTTTCAACTCTTTCAACTCTTTCTTCCAATCTTTCAACATTTCCAGCCACCTCATCCACCCTATCATCCAGCCTTTCTACATGGGCCGCAAGCCCCTGAAGAGCCAACAAAATATCTTTCCTCATCTGATGATTTTTCTCCTCCAAAAGCTCTTCTGTCTCAAATCTGATCTTTTGTATAGCTTTCTCCAAAGAATCCTGAACCACATTCATTTTGCATCCTTCTGACCAGCAAAATCAATGGGGAAGCCAGGTTCAGTTAACCACTGGGTTGCTAACTTAACAACTGCAATGATTCACTCAAGAACTGGCATGAAAAGTCACAAAATGAGGCAAAACTCAACTGTCTCACTTAGCAAAAGAAATTTGGGGTTCAGTTGTGATCATAAGTCCAGGACTACCTGTAGCAATTCAGTGATTCATTGTAAGCCATGTTGAATTACTTTGGGTTGCAAGATGGGCAGCATATAAATTTAATAAGTAAATTGTTACCTCATCCCACAGGCCAAGATATAGATGATTTTGGACTATATGTAACACCCACAGAAAATGATGAGGTAGATCTGGCAGTCTACTAGTTTTATTCATGATGAAAGTATGTGAAATAGAACAAATGTCCAGCAAAGAAGTCTTTATGAATTCATTGTTGGATGATTCTGTTTCCTGTAAAAGGGCTTTAGCAACAGGTAGTTACTTATTCTTTTTTTCTGCTTTTGCCTCAATTATTCTCCAAGTGCCATGCGCTATGCCCCTTTGAACATTGTCCTGTTCAGATTGTCAAAGTCCATCATCTTTCCTTGCAATAAGGGGTATGCAAAAATTCTGTAGACATGGGAGAAATCTGGAGACTATGGTGCTGCTCATAAAATTCTACTTACCAAAAATGCTATCTTACTTTACTTCTGAAAAACAATTTTGTAGTCCTGGTTGCAAAGATAGATTTACAAGGCAGCTGGCAATGGGCAGCTGAAACCTTAGGAGGCAGCTTAGCTGCTGCTGAAACACATGACTCATTATTAGATGGTACAGTTAAACAATTCTGTACAGGACTTTCTCCTTCTGTAAAATTATAAGAATGCATAATGCAAATTGGTTGGATAAATGACAGAATAAAATTTTGCATTGTAGGAAGTGAAATCTGGTCTGGTTCTTATTCCAAGTTGGGAGAAAGACACAGAAGAAATGAACTGAAGCAACTGCAGTTGGAAAAGAGATCTCCATGTCAGTGACAGCAGCACGTTTCTGGGGTGGCTGACAAATTAGAGATGAGCGTAGATGGGCTTTTATACAATTTTGGGGGCTTTGTGATTGAGATGCCTGTTCATGTCCTTTATTATTTTAATGACTGTTGCCAGATTCCTATGGGGTCATGTAGGGGTCACGATTGGCTCTACAGGCAGAAGTGGAAATGCAAATCCCAGGTGTTTTGTAGTCTGAACTAATCTTGTCAGTTTCAGCTCCTTGCCTATTGTGCTGCTTATTTGGAGCTGTTGGCTGCCCTTTGTTTATGAATAGAGGGGCCTGGCTTTATGAATGGATGCAAAATACCAATCCACAAAACCTAGCCTCTTCAGGCTTCTGGTTGAGGCTATAGCAGAAAGACTGTAGGGGGAAATATTCTATTCTGCCTCTTTTAATATTCTGTAGAATATTTTATTCTGGGGAGGAGGGCCTTCCCATAGCATTTTCATAATATATATAATATGGTGCAATTTATCTATTCTGACCACAGAATTGTGAATAAATTGGTATAGGTTTTTGTGTGTTAGGATAATTATATAATTTTAGCAGTGAATCTGGATTCTAGATTCTTTGATTATTTGACTGCAGCCTTTTCTCTGCCTCTAAAAAAGAGTGATTTATGTTAAACCTATCCTCCTTCCTTGTAAAAATGTGAAGCTATTTTCCATCAGTTCCCAGCTAAAATCACTCATAGGTGTTTACTGAATTATGGAGCTGACTGCTACCTTTAGTTCAAACTACACTAACTGCCTGCCTCTTGATACTTTGCATATATGTTGAGAACAAGATCAGTTTGGTAAAACCATTGGCCTTGTAGTTAGTTTATGGTGAGTTCTAAACCTGTCTTAAGAATGGAAGGCAGCTGGAGACTTTGGGCCAGTCACTTGCTCACAGCCCAATCCACATCACAGGATTGTTGTGAAGAAAATATGGGGCAGGAGTAGTGTGTACGCAATAGAGGTGACTATCTGTAGCTCGGGTGTAGGATAAGGGTGAAGGTATGTTCTCTGAGCTTGTGGGTTGGTTCCCGAACGTTTCATTACCAGGCTAGGTAACATCTTCAGCAGAGTTTAGGGAATGTCAACATCAGTGTTCTTCTGTTCATAAGGGCTTCAGGAATGAATGTGTCAAGTGAGGATCTTGGGATGGGTCTTGTGATGAATCATGTGAGAGTCATTAGTGAGATTCTTGTGATGTGTCTAGTGATGGGGAGGTCACATCAAGTCAAAATCATTGGGAGGTGAACTGCTGGTGATGGGGGCTTGTGTGGGTTGGTTGAGGGTTGGTGCTGTCTCTGGTTGTCTGTGTGGTTGATTTGGATTTTAAGGAGTTCGTAGGCTGATTGTAGATCCATGTGTCTATTGATGGAAGTGCTTGTGGAGTGCCAGTCTTTGATAAACTCACGAGCACAGTGGGTGATAGCATGATCAATGATTTTTGTGTTGCTCCAATGGAACTGGTGCTGTTTGGTGTCAACATAGTAGAGATTAAGGATTTGGGATTGTGGCATTTGACTGCCAAGCCAGTGTTCAGGGAACCTGGTTTTAATTGACATGATGTTTGTCCCACATAGAATTGGTTGCAATCGTTACAGTTGATTTTGTAGATTACATTGTTTCTTTCATCCTTCTGTATCTTGCCTTTGGTTCTGAATAATTCCTGGTGGAATGTAGCTATGGGTTTGTGGGTTATTGCTATTCTTAGGGTTTGGAAAATTCTGGCTGTCATATCTGACACCACTCTTGGGTATTGTAGTGGTCTCCTGTGGTTTTGGTGCTGTGTGTTGGAATAGGAAGTCTTTTGGATAGCCATTATGTAGAAAGACATTAAGCAGCTATTTCTCTTCTGCTTTTCCTAGTGTTGTGGTACTGCAGTTTGTCCTGGCCCTTCTGAAGAAGATCTGATCCATGTGCATGGGTTTGGCGTAGACGCGGGTTTCCAGTTCTCTATTGTCTAGTCTCCTTATGTCAATATTGAGGATTGAATGTCTGTTGTCTATTTCTTCTTCACATGTGAATTGGATCCCAGAGAATATGTTATTGAGTAGGTGGTCTGTTTCTTCAATTTCGGAGCATTTTATGATGACAAATGTGTCATTGACATAGCATATCCAGAATTTTGGTAGGATGGTCGGTAGAGCTATGAATTAAAGCTTGGAGAATGAACCTTCACCTTCAGTATTGTGTATGTTTGCCACCTTGAGTTATATATTCAAAAGGTGGGTAAAATATAATAATAATAACAACACTTACCTGCAAGAAGAACTGGTAAGAGCACAAGATAGACAAATAGTAGAAAACAAAGACACTAAAGTGTTCTGGCACTTTAGAATTAAAGCAGACAAGCATCTGCCACACAATACTTTATGTTAACAATTATGGATAAGACAAAATTCACGAATGAAAGCAAATGTAAGTGTCCCAGGGTAATGTTGCAGGATCCAATCTGGGTCGGTTACCCGGACCAGAGTTTTTGTCTTCCAAGCTTTCGGACTTGTGCTGTTGCCCATCTTCAGGAAACTTTCTCTAGCCTAGGCTAGTGTCTGAAAGCTTGAAAGACAAAACCTTTGATCCCAGTGACTGACCCAGATCAGATCCTACAACAAAAAAGTCTGGATAGTAGACATTGTAGTATCTGGAAAAGCAGAAGAAAAGACAAAGAACTGGAGAAAAATCATAAAATATAAAGACCTGCAAATAGAACAATTGTGGCCAAAGAAAGCACAGATAGTACTAATAGTAATAGGCACCTGGGGTGCAATCCCAAAACATCTGGAGCACCACTTGAAGACCACCAACACTGACAAAACCACTATCAGTCAATTGCAAAAGGCAGCTTTGCTTGGATCAACCATGACCTAGATGATTAGATATTCCACTACGATGCTAACCTCTAAAAGTCTAAGCTAAAAGTCTAATTTGATTTGCAGTCGTCTGTCTTAAATCCATAAGAATAATTGCATTTTTAATCTCCGGGAAGAACTGATGTATTTCTTTACCTCTCTCATTCAGGAATAACTCTGGGAATCATGATCCACTATTTCCTCCTGCACTGCTGGCAAAACATGTTTGCCGAGATCCTACGCTTTGCAGACCGTTCTTTCTACAAGGTGATAACAAGGAGTGGGGGAGGTTGCAAGAAAGATACAGGGAGTCTGGATTTCATTCCTCATGGATATATTTGAATGGTCCATTGACCACTCTGTGAAGAACAGTTTGAAAAACTTTCCCAAGAATTCTGAGATGTTATGCCTCTAAAAGAAAAGCAAATTTTAACTTGCTGAAACAACTATACTGAAGAAACTGACATTGAAGTATCAAATTACTTGTAATCAAAGTAATAAATATAGGTGGTTCTCATTTAGCAGTTGGTCACAGTTACAATGATGATGATAAAGTAAAATTATGATCAGTCCTCACATTTACAATCTCTGCAGGTTTATAAAGCAAAGGAAAGTTGAAGTCAGATTGCAAGCATTTTTATCTATGCTAATTGTTTTAATGGGCTTGCAAAATATTTTACTTTTTGCTTTTGTCATATGGCACCAGAGTCACTTCAGGTGAGATGGGCAACCATGTAAATTTGGCAATAAAGAAATCTGACAAATAAATAACACAACTATTTCCACTTAATGACCACTTAACCACTTTGTTGCTGCTCTCAGTTGTGGTCACTAAATTAAGACTGCCTGTAGAAACTGCCTGTATATTGAGGGAATGTAAAAGAGATCAAATAACATGTTCTGAAAGACTTTGCAAGATCTCACATGATCCCACATCATTCATCAGCCCTCCCAATGGCTGAAATCTCACCTTTCATGGCCCCCTTGCCCCTCAATCTCACCCCTTCCCTAACACCCAGTTGCACCTGCTTGCTCTCCCACACCCAACAACAGCCACTTACCTTGCCTGTTTGGGAGTTGCAAATTCCTGCTGGTTTCCCCACTAACTTAATGATGGAAATTCTAATCCCAATTGCCCTTCTAAGTCGAGGTTTATGAAGAGTCGATTGTTCTTTTGCTTGCCTAAAATACAGGGATGTTCTAGTTTCATGCTATTTATTCCATTCTCCCTGCCTAGGACTGGTGGAATTCCAGATCATTCTCTGGATTCTTTCGGATATGGAATATAATTATACACGACTGGCTGTACTACTATATTTATCAAGATATTCTGCGGGTAGGTAAGGCTGTAATGGGCTATGTGAATAACTTTGTGGCCAGGAGGAAGAACTTCAGCCAGGGCAATGATCAACAAGAGATGCCTAAGCCCACAGCCGGAATTGGGGGGTAGAACAGCATCTCAGAAGGGATTCTCTCTTGTTGTTCAAAAAATAAAGGCCGCAAAGGAAGGAAGTGCTCTCAGACCTGCAAGATTCTATTACTGGAACCTTACAATAAAAGCACAGTTTCTAAAAGCACTATTATTTGGTTTGGTTTACTGTCTGAATACCTGAAAGTATTGGAAAGCTTACCAAACTCACCCCATATTATCCCATAAAATAGATCTGCTGCATGTAATCTCTCTATGCCTGTCTTCATTGTTAATTGGTAAGTACCAAGGTGAGGTCTCATGTGCTCCTTCTCTTCCAGCTGTTTGGAGGGAGAGCCCGAGGTGGAGCTATGCTGATTGTCTTCCTTCTCTCAGCGGTTGTCCATGAATACCTACTCACCTTGGCCTTTAGCATGTTCTTTCCTGTCATGTTTGTGCTATTTGCCATGATAGGAGGTCAGTACTCCCTCGGGAAATGGACTGAACCTTTACTCAGAGGATTCAAGCAAGGCCGGTAAAAAAATAACGTGGCATGAATTGCTCCTGGTGAACCTTCTTCCATTATGTCCTACCCTCCCCTGGTTTTGGGTTTCCACACTCCCCAAATGGTACACACTCATGTTCCTTTTGATATATTTTTTTTTTTTACCACTGGGAGGTGGAGTTGCTCCAAATTTATTTAAAGTATATGAAGCCAGTGGTCAGAGTCTTGTGGTGGGTCTTGTGATCCATCTAACCCTAACCCATCACAAGACCCTCACCTTATGTGACCCACATCTGACCCATCACAAAACCTATTACAGGACCCTCCCTTGTGACCCACACCTGAAAACACAGAGACCTTATAAACAGAACACCGACACTGACATTCCCTAAATTCCACTGAAAAGGTTACATAGCCTGGTAACGAAACCAACAAGCTTGGAGAACGAACCTCCACCCCACCTCATCTGCTCCAGATTTATTACTATTATTATTATTTCCAGTATGCTCAGTCATCACAGCCTTCAGACATCTTGGCTGCAGAATCTTGGGAATTGCTTGCCTCAAACGTGCAGCTTCCTAAATTGGGAAAGACTAGCTAAGGAAAGATTCAGGGCATTATCCTCTCCCACCCCATCCCCCATCCAGTGTTTCTCATTCTTGGGGACTTTAAAATGTGTGAACTTCAGCTCCCAGAATTTCACAGGCAGCATGTGCATTGTATTATTCCCTCAGATGGTGAATTGTATGCTTAGGCTGGAGGCTGCTTTTTCATCCCTGAGAAAATTATTTTGGTGTCGTATTTTTTTCAAATTTTGCTGGTCACTGATTGAATAAACAGTGGTTCTTCCCTGAGAAAATTAAGATTCTTTATTCCAACAGGAGGGGAAAAAAATAATGTCAAACAATTTTACAAATTAAAAAGCAAGAGCAAAGAGCAAAAACAAAATTAATAACTGGAAAACAAAATGTTGCTATTTCAGAAGTCCAGTTACAATTCCAAAACAGATGCAAGTACTCTTTTATCTGCGTCCTGATCATGACTAAAATTTAGTTGTAATCAGGATGCAGATAAAAGAGGGACAGGGAAATAGCGTAGGTTCTAGGAGCAGGGAGTTCCATCTACAAGGGTATTGCTTTGAGAATTGTCTTTCCCAAATTATTTTACCTCCATAGAAGTAGGGATGAGGCATACAGTATTGTCTTATAATTAACATGGGAATTGCTGTTATTTTAGATTTGGTAACGAAGAACATTTCTATTGCAAATAACAGTTATTAGAAATCAACAATTATCTCCTTGGCTCAGTGTGATTGGAATATATACAATTAATCCTTTTTCTGTTTGTTTTCACAGTGTTGCTTAACTTTGTTCTAAATGATAAGAGAAAAAACCCTGTCTGGAACATCATCATATGGATAGGCCACATTTTGGGCATGACAACCATTTTCTCCTTATTAAGCCAAGAGTGGTTCGCACATGCCCACTGTCCACTCAAGGAGGTGAGTAGACACTCTACCTACGCGGAGTTAGAATAAGTCTTGGGTTTCCTCTTCATGTTATTTTCCAAGAGGGTCAAGACTACTAGTTGGTATATATCCCAACTG